CCATCTTCATCTCTTTTCTTTACTTTGCTTCTTCTTTTCTTTTCGTCCGCATACACCTTCTCTTTTTCTCTCCTTTTCTTTATTTCCACTTTTGTTCTCTTTCTCTATCCTTTCATCTTTCTTTTCCTCCCTTTCTTCTAAATCTCCGACAACCATTCTTTATGTCACAATTTCTCTTACTGTTTTATGACGACCAGCTTCTACTGTTCCGTTTGTTTATTACTACAATTCCCGCTCCACATTCATGCCGCTCTGTTGACGATCACTGGGTTCTTTCGTCATCTTTCCACTTTTCTTTGGCGCAGCCATTTTATTCTAAGCCCCAGCCAGGACCTCATATACCACCGAGTGGTCTTGACTGATATTAAAATGTCATCAAAAGAAGACATAATAAATTTCAAATATCTGCCACACGTTGCTGAAATTCCGATTTATAACCATTCGTCATTTCTTGTCGACCGTCCACATGACTCGCCTCGAAGCGTGCGTAGCAGAGCCAATCATCCTGCGCCACGTGGAAAGTCAACGCCATAAATAAAATAACCGCATATAAGAGATAGCAGGTCTTTGTTTTTATCAATATAAAAATAACGAAAAAGAGAAAATCGACAGTCAGTTGCTGATACCTCCCTGGCCGAGTAGACTGAACGATGGCAAAAAAAAAGGTTCGTCTACCAAACTCTGGAGTCAGGATGCTAAATATAACATCAATCAGCCAAATGACAAATTTATATTTGTATTAATACTATATATATATATATATATATATATATATATATATATATATATATATATATATATATATTTACTTATTTAAAAATATGGTTCCATCGGTACACAGGAATTACAATGTTTCAAAAACGTAGGCTAAAAACTTTAAATTCAATTATAGAATTAAATTAAAGTCACTAGTTTTGTTTCATTTTCAAGCGAATTTTGGAATAACTTATTTTGAAATTTTATAAGCACATACATTCATAATTGAGATGTTGAGTGTTTCCGCGTGCGTGTATTGAAATAAGGACAAACACATACGTAGGGGAAAATACTGGTATATCTGAAGAGGTATTTACAACAGAGAGATTAGTAGTCAAACGAACGCAGGTTAGTCAGTAACAATCAGAAAGAGTATATAGTCCAACTGTATCTTCCCAGATCTCCCCAGAACTCTATAGAACTGTCCTATTAGTAGTAGAGAGATCAGTCCATTCTGATGAGAAGGTGGGTGCGCCCCAACAATAATATTAGTTTCTATGGATATGGGGAAATCCAATCATTTTAACAAGGGATGGTAGGGTATTCTTTTTCACTGAAAAACTATTGTATCAAAATATTAGTTACTTTCGAAAAGAGGTAGGGTAGGGGCTCCTTTTCAAACGAATGATGACATCCGTTCAACGCATGTCGTCTGGTCTTTTTCAACGACAAAAGTTTTTATAAATCTAGTAATATTTAGTTTCTCATGTATGCACAAAGTACATGAGTCATTTAATGACCTACATATTCTAGCTTTTATGTTTTATCTTTTAGGTTTATAAAAAATAAAAATTTACTTAATCAAAGAAATGAAATAGTTATTCTTTGCCGACATTGTCAAAAATTTTCCTCAAGTAATGTTAAAAAACTGATAAATTAAATATACATATTTATATTTGATATTTAATAATTTTTAAATAATTTAAGTAATTCTATTACATTTATTTGTTTTAAAAGATGTATAGTGTATTAGTAATTAAAATTAAGAATGATATTTTAAAATTGTAGTTCAATACGATGTATTCATATACAAACAACTCTTTTAGAAAAAAATCTTTATGTATACAAGTAGAAATTTAACAAAAGTGCCGAAAAACTACTTGTCGTTGAAAAAGACCAGATGACGTGCGTTGAACGGATGTCATCATTCGTTTGAAAAAGGCACCCCTTCATGCTATGCTTTTTTTAAGTGATCTCCTGAAGGTGCTTAACTTAACCTCTTTTCGAAAGTAACTAATATGTTTATGCAATGTCAGTGAAAAAGAATACCCTACCGTCCCTATGATTGAATTTGAAGTTTTTAGCTACTGTTTTTGACACATGGTAATTCCTGTGTAGCGATGGAACCATATTTTAAATAAGTAAATTTATAATATTTATGCTCTGTAGATTTGCATTGATCACTGTTTTGTAAAAAATAAAAAAAATATTAATAAATATTAATAAGAACATCGGATTATATATCTTACTGTTCTTTCTCTTTATTATAATATAGATATACATGGCAATAAAATTACAACATATCACACATATAGTGCAGGTGTTAACGAAACAGTGCTCAATGTAATGAAATTCAGAGTTGTGTGAGATAGTATATATATATATATATATATATATATATATATATATATATATATATATATAAAGGATGACAGTTTATCGCCAAAAATTATGGATCCCCACATCAGAAAAACAACTACGGGTTCGGATACCCCACATTAAATTAGACCTTGTGCTACATCTGACCGCGTGGGGCGGTTGGCAGATATCCTTCTGTCAATACAAAATATTATTATTGAGTTCGATTCTCATGAATCTAAATGAAAGTTGTCTTGCGCCAAAGTTAGCCAAGTTCAAATTTGAATTGTGTGCATTGCAATAACCAAAAGTTACAAAATGCACAAATATACTAAATACATTTTCAAATGACATTATCATCATTCTCACCCTCATCAATGGCGAACTGGCTTACCCGATGGCAAATGGGCTCCTCATTGAGCGGGCCCCCTATATCAAATAAAAATGCAATAAAGAAACAAACACAGACAACTATTTTAAGTAATAAAAAGGAATACTAACTTTATAAAGTCATCTGTACACTATCAATTACTCAAGTTCAATGTGGAGTGGTATTTTCAAAGCAAATGAACATAAAGACAAGGTTGATAAATTCGCTCTCTGAAGAGAATTGTAAATCATGCATATTGCTATCCATTGAAAAGGAATTGTTACATGAATTAGATACAGAAGAAATTATTGGCGCAGATTCGAACAATCATCTAATCAACACAAACGACTGCACTTAATATAGTGGACTGCCTGCAATGCTATATTGCGCTTTTAAATTATTCGTTAATCTATTTAAAAATGATAACTAATTACTTAAATTTTAAAAGACAAGTAAAATTTCAATTATAATATTCTGTATTTATATTTGGTATCTACTGTCAGTAATATGAACTCTACTAAGAAATAAACATTTTTTACACAAAAAATTTTAAATGTTGGTGATCGTCATTTTAGTATAAGGGTCGTCAAAATTACAATTCAGAAAACTTTAGTTTTTGCATATAGACTTCTTGCTTTATTTGAAATATATGAGACGGAACGAGAAGCTGAACAAGAGATTTTCTTATTCAACCAAATCGTGTGACCACTCTACCTCTGTGAGGACACAAATGTAATCTGACGATTCAACTTGTGCAGTCGTTGATGCCAACCTTTCTCTGTCCGCTTCTGATCGCTCTATCCGACTGCTAGCTGTCGATTGCCCGGATGTCAAATACGTCCGACGTGACCGAATATTCCACTTTTAGATGTACCTATCACCAAAAGAACAATTATTCATACGTTTATTTACATTCACATTGCTTTCATTGGACTACATTTAATATGACGTGCTATTGTGGACTTCTAACATCAAGCTGTCGGATATTTTATAATACCAACTACCAGAATTACAGATAGATTTAGCAATAGATTTAGCAATATGTAAACAATGAGTGTGGTTCATGAAGTAAAATTCTAGCCCGAGATTTTCCTATGTATAATTTGAAATATATATATATATATATATATATATATATATATATATATATAATACTAATAATCTTATAAATATAAGCAGCTATACACGTCCGGCAAAACCTTCGAATGTTTACGCTTGTCAATGAACAAACCAACACCCAAGGGAAAAAAAGGATATAAAAAGGAAGAACTAAGAACATGTACATCCGGCGAAAATAATCGTCTAGAATCTAAGTTCAGAGTTCAAAAAAAAAAACCGACACGAGTCAAGTAAAATAACAAAGTAAAGTGCTCAAGACGCTAAATAGAGCAAACTAAGGTAGGTTTGTCTTTGGTTTCCTTATATATATATATTATATATATTATAATATATATATATATATATATATATATATATATATATATATATATATATATATATATATATATATATATTTCATGTCTTTAATTGGCCGAATGCTCTTAAATACTAAATGCTGATAACTTTGTTTAACGTTTTCTTCTGAAGGAAAAGAAGAGAATGAATGACAGTATCTATAACAAAGCGTTTTCTTTGCCGCCATATTGGTTCGTTGTAATCTGCTCCAATCACTAATTCGTGCAAAAAAAAAATGGCTGACGCGAGAGGAAATGAACAGAAACGTCCAAAAGAAATGTTGCGTTTGAGAAATAATTTCTTGGTAAATGGACACCAATTTGATCCTGATTTCTTAGAAAAATTTTAAATAACAAGTAGGAAAAAATATGAACACAAAATAATTGGTTAATACCTGGTAGCACGTAATTATCGTTCTTGAGACTTTCAAGATATAACTAGACAGGAATCTTTTAGGTGTTATTTTGTTATTTTATTGTATCGATTGTGTTTTTTTTTACACCAATAGTTAAGTGTACCTTTCAATGAGGATCAAACAACAGGAAAACTCCTCAACACTAACACACTTTCCGGTCTTCATCATCATTATTATTATTATTATTATATAGCATTCTATACTAGAAGTATCTGGTGACTTTCCAGTAGATCGTGTAACAGAAAATCTTCTCTTCTGGTCAATGTATATATTGCAGTCGCTTGCACATTTGCTAGTGGGCCCCTTTCCCAGCTAATCATGTCTACTCTAGTTTCTTTTCTTGACCAATTTTTTTTTACATTCACTTGAGAAATCAAGGAGCCTAGTTTTCAAGTTTATCTCCATTCCCATGCCAGCTGATTAGTCTTACGGCCACATCTCGTTGAAACATCGGTTCCCGTAGGATCACCGAAGTTAAGCAACGTCTAGCCTGGTGAGTACTTGAAAGATGACCACTTGGGAATACCATGTGCTGTAAGCTTGAATGTGCGAGTGGTCTAATGGATAATGGCTCGGAATTATTAATCTGAGAGACGAGTTCCAATTCCAGTTGGGTCCTTTATATTCACTTACGCGCAAATATCCTTTGGGAAAGGCATGAATCCAACTATTCTCTCTCCAGCTATGGGTTAATAAGATATCAATAAATATCACTAAATCATTATTATCTCAAAAACATTTCTTACAATCTAAAAAAATATTTTTAGCTAACCTGCAAAGAGTTGATAAACCGTTAAAAAAACGAATCAATCAATCAACCAATCCAACTGGTTATGATGTATCAATTCACTTACTAGTAAAATCCACACGAGTAATTCAGTTACATTCGACGTGCTTTTTAAACATAGATGAGTAAGACTTTTCCGTGGAAGACTAGAATTTTATTAGGGAAAAGTTTTTAAACGATCTTTGCCGTTGGAGCAATTTATAAATTCTACAAATTAATCTTCCATATTGTCTAACAATCGACAATATGGGATTAATTCTAAATGGGTTTCAAATGAATTAATAATCCAAAAGTGCGGCACCAAAATCCGAAGTCGCATTGGGATAGCCAAAGATGCCTTCCAAACTCTAAACATAGTATTAAGAAACAGGAAAATTTCGTTAGAAATAAAGAAAAGAGTACTGAATTGTTATGTAATATCGGTCCTCCTATATGGCTCTGAATGCTGGATAATCTCTTTACAGATGAAAAAGAAACTAGAAGTAACAGAAATGTGATTCTACAGAAGGATGATGAGGACGATGAATTTAAAAAAAAATGGAAACGAAAACAGCACTTATAAATATTAGAAAGAGATAGTTGATATTTCTAGGACACGTAATGAGGAAAGATCGCTTAGAAAATTTGACACTCACAGGACAGATTGAAAACAAGAGGGACGGGGGAAAAGGGTGCATAACACATACTGAACTTATGGAAATGGTTGACAGGACAGGGTATAGGATTGATCGCAAAAAGACAAAATTCACTAAGAGCTACAAAGGACAGAAAATTGTGGAGAGCCATTATCGTCCACGTCCTGAAAGGACACGTCACGAAGAAGAAGAACAAAGAAAAAATTACTCATAAGCAAAAGGAAGTTATTGCATGGGTAATATCTTTTGTTGACCCCCAGATGCACTTGTTTGATGCTAGGGTTAGCAATTGTAAAATTCAAAAAGTGCATTTTATCAGGAACGTTACTAACCTGTTCTGGGCATAAACTGTAATGTAAAAACTATAAAGTACTTATATTATCAAACTTTCAATTGCTTTATTTTGTAGAGCCATGTCTGTCCAGAATATAGGTAATAAAGACTCTATATCTAGTAAATGATCTGTTTAAGTAAATGCTCTGTTTATAATAACAAAGCATTTACTTAAATATTTGTATCTATAAAAATAACGTATAAACAAAAACTATATATATATATATATCTTACAGCAAAAAAAATTACATCAACATTGAGATAGTCTATTTCAAGCCGTTCTGTACACGGCTATCTTCAGCCTCTAAGCGTCTGTCTCGGATAATTTACATATGCTCTGTTAAAAACATCGAGCTCTCTGTGGATCAGTTTTAATAATTAATATTACTAGGATCCACCCGGATTATATCCCAACGGATCAATTTACCTATATATATATATATATATATATATATATATATATATATATATAAATCATGAAAACTTACCTTCGTTAGTCAGGTGGTAGTGACAGGACATCCCGAAGAAGACAAAGCGATGTCTGCCTTCCACGATAATTGAGCTACAACTACGCCACACCGCGTGCAACATGCCCTCACTGTGACAGGGGAGTAGTGAGAGGGAATAAAAGAAACAAGTTGTCAACTAGATATTACGAGTACTTAAAACATTTTGGGGTAACAAAACGCCACATGGGACTATATCAGAATTAAGATTAGTTTAAATGCAACCTTTTTTAACCTAGCAAAAATGCATGGAATAATTTTTGTTAATTTCTTTTTCTTTTTTTAATTTATCAAATATATTTTCTTTCTACGTCGTTTCATTTTTTATTTTATTTCTTAAAAGAAAATAGTTTTATTCCAATCTTTACATCAGTCCATCTTTTGTTTTCTTTTTCTTTTCTTTTTTTCGTTAATTCTAGAAACTGTAACGACGAACTATTTTCCGTTCATGTCAATATTGGTTTGAATCGATTCAATTAATTTTTATCGATTTATAAAATGACATAAAATAAAATAAAATAAAATGAATGAATAAAAAGGAAGAAAAATTTTTACAATTATTTTCCTTTTATCATCATCATCATCATCATCATCATCTTCGTCGTCATCATCATTATCATCTTCATTATCATAAGTTGTTGTTGCTACTACTACTACTATTTATTTACTTATTTATCATCACCGACACCTTAGAGATGTTAGAAATCTAAATTTCAATTGTAGTCTGAAAATGTCATAAATTTTTACGAGAGCTTTTTTCATTTCGTTTTTTTTTTTTTTTGTTTTTTGCTTTTTTTTGTTTTTGTTTTTTTTTTCTGATTTAGTTAAAATTACGTGTTTTCTTAGTTGTGTCTTTCAATTAGAAAAATTGGAATTTTCGTTCTCGTCAAATGATTTCAATTTTTAGCATCTGGAAAATCTATTTAAACCGCCTGATGATATTATCTTATTTCAACAACGAAGAATAAAAGTATAATTCTCCCCGAAATAAGTCAGTCTACTGGCGACAATGGTGTTAACTCATCAATGCCCTCCGTAACATCCAGGATTAATTCAATAAAAAATTATTGATTCATTCATTTTCTATGGTTTATCAACCCTTTGCAGGTTATTCAAAGCCATTTTAGAATGTAAGAATTTTTTTAGATAATAATGGTTTAGTGATACAAGAATTTTTGTGAACACTTGTTGCCACATTTGTGATGTCAACGAATACTCGTTGTCACTTTCGTAATTCTCATTGTAGTAGAGACTTCATAATCAGAGATACAACTATAGTAACGCCGTTGAACGATACTGGTGTCGGACGCCTTCGAAAATCACTCGCACTATTAGTACTTGCTCGATAATACTCGCTCGAAAAATAACCACCGAATAGTGATCTGAATAGAGAAATAGTATAGTGAATAGAGTAGAAAATAGCGGTTCGTATAGTAATAAAGGATAGACTAGAAATACAATCCTTTAGACGTCACGCTTTTTTCTGCTGATGCGTTCCCTCTATGGTCACATGGTCTACTTAATTCAATAATGGGATCGCCTGTGTTTGCTCACTGGCGATCTATGTTCAAACTCAAGTGTCGGCAGCGACACTTTATTCCTATATAACACTAATGAACGCATATCTGGGGGGGGGAAGCGGTGGATTAATACCAAATCAGAATTTGATAAACAAGAAATATAATGGATTTAAAGTGGGGGATCAATTCTGAATTGCTTTCATTATATAAACTGATCCCTCACTTTGTAGCCACGGTAGTTTCTATACATTTATATTCCAAAGAATGTAAATAAATCTAAAAAAACTGCTTGTGTAGCTAATCACTATTTCATTGACTGATTCATTTTTTACAGCTTATCAACCCTTTGCAGGTTATTTAAAGCCAGAAAATATTTTTAGATTGTAATATTTTTTCAAATAATAATGGTTTAGTGATACAAGTCTTACTAATGGGAGAAAAAAAGAGGTGGATTCATTCCTTTCCCTTTGCGTGTAAGTGAATCTAATGGACTCACGGGAATTGGAACTCGGCCCTCCAATTAACAATTCCGAGCCATTATCCATTACACCACAAGCACATCCAAGCTTACAGCACCTGGTATTCCTAAACGGTTACCCATCCAGGTACTGAACAGATTCGACGTTGCTGAACTTCCGTGATCGTACAAGAACTGGTGTTCTATGTGATGTGGCCGAAAATTAACGAAAGGCTTACAACATTTAGTGTGTGGGGAAGGGTGAAAAATAATTCACCACACACAAGGCCGCGTGCATGCTTTTGAACAAGAACTGGTGTCAACGTGATATGGCCAGAAGCCCAACGATTCGAAAAAGTCTTTGGTGGCGGGCGATTAACGGAAAAGTAACGCAGGAAGAGACAGTTGGGGTTTCTGGGGCATATAATGAGGAAGGATGACTTGGAAAATCTGATACACACAAGACATATAGAGGGAAAGAGGAAGGGAGGAAAACAACGCAAATCATACATAGTGAGCTTGAGTAAATGGATGGTGGAACAGGTCTTAGGAGAAATAACAAAAAGACAAAGTTTATTAAATGCTACAAGGGACAAGAAGAGAGCTATGATCGCCTACGTGCTGAAGGGACACGGCATATAAAGAAGACCGAATATTTTTCTTCACCAATGCAAAGTCTACAAAATATTTTAATCAGAAAAAAAAACGTTATAAATTTTCCAGACATAATAATATTTTTACTTCGTAGTTTTATCTCATTTTTTTGTTTTCTCATTCCGGACATGTTTCGTATAACGTTTTCAACAAAATTTCAGCTGCTTTAATTTTGTCGATGATTTATCTTCATAAACGTGTGTAATGTAACGGATATCGACGCATAAAGTAGAATCGATTCAAATTCCGGCTAGTCTTGCGTCTTCTTCACACAAAAACCATTGGTAAAAGGCATGAATTTGTATCATCTTCCCCAGCCGTCAGCTACGAGATAAATATCAACATAGAATGGGTAGCAAGCAGTCTAAAAGAAAGGGAAATGGAGAAGGAAACGAAAAACCACCCTACTATTTTTCCTAAGAATGCATAGCAATTCACAGATAATAAAGAAATTGAATCCATGGATAGTCATAATCGTCTACACCCTAAAGAGACATGTTATTAAATAATAAAATACAGAAAAGTAAATATCTTAGCATCCAAATTTTTGTAGAAATATACAATACAGTTCAAAAGTTTGAAGCCATCCCCAGAATTAGCATTGGATGAACTTCACAGAAGAGTGAAAAGAAAAAAAAATGAAAAAAAAGCTCTTAGACATATTAAAAAATAGAATGGAATCAATTAGCAAACTTATACTTTGAGAAACTTTTGCATCGAATGCCAAAAATTTGTGTTGTCGTAATCAAGGCTTAAGGAGGATATTTTGCGAGAGCAAAATTGAATCATAAAATACTTTATTTCTTTTTGTCATAATAAAATTTCTAATAAAAAATCATGTCTCTTTTTTATTTTTTTTTTTTTTTTTGACCATGTATAATAGTTTTCTCTTATTTAAAGTACAAAAACAATACTTAATATTTAAAAAGTTATCAAGGGTTTCCTCAACCTTTTGAGTTGTAGTGTATATTCAAAATACTCAGTAGGTAATTTTGTATATTATTGCAGATGAGTTATTTTATATATATATATATATATATATATATATATATATATATATATATATATATATATATATATATATTTTATTTTAGATACCTATAGCGATTTCAACATGCTATTGTTCTAATATCTAAAATAAAATAATAATATATTGCTCTACTTTGAACTGCGCACTTTAAAAAAAATGCTACGAACAGCGGAATTTGACTTCATCTGTTCTGTCTCTCATTTGGATATATATATATATATATATATATATATATATATATATATATATATGACGTCACACATTATGAAATGGACAAAGTCCGACAATTATTTTAAGACATTTTATGTTTATACATTTTTATAGATACAAATATTTAAGTAAATGCTCTGTTTTATCTACTGTTTATTATAAACAAAGCATTTACTTAAATATTTGTATCCATAAAAGAATGTATAAACATAAATGTCTTAATCTATATATATATATATATATATATATATATATATATATATATATATATATACTGAAGGTCTTTGGTTTACGTCGAAAACCGACGTTCGTCGTTTCGTGTGGTTACGGCACTATCTCCCATAATATAATACGTCGTCACGCGGCGCTACATGCGGAAAACGGCGTTGTTTCTTCAATGGCTGTTCGCCATATTGGATTGTGCTCAAGGCCATACCTATAACAGGCCAGGAAATCACACTTTTCGTAGCAGCCACTGGGGGGAGGTTTTCTGTCACCAGATAATTTTTTTGCTGGTACCACTTGACTTTCATTGATGCAGCACATAGCAAATTCATTCTGAAAGGAAATTCTAACCCATCAAATTTATTTCAGTTGAGGTTCTGCATTTTACCATAAATTACATTTGGATTATTATAAGTTCATTAGTATAACAGTTAACAGTTATGTGCCATGCGTGATACACGCTTAGGCGATCATGTATCTTTCAATACATGACTGACGAGGTAGATTTTTTTTCCCGCAGTAGGTTGCCATTTCTTTCTGCGATAGACCAGTTGCCATCCAAGGCTATAGAACCAGGACTCCCTTGCTATTAACCCATAGCTGGGGGGAGAAGAAGAGGATTCGTACCTTTCCCAAATGTATTAGCACGTAAGTGAATGCAATGGATTCGACTGGAATTCGAAATCGGCTCTCTGATTTATCAATCCGAGCTGCTATCCATTACACCCCATAACGTAAAAAGTAAAAATTGAATTTTATTGGGATCGATTTTTTTTTGCCATTATTAATTTTATTGAACTACTGAATTACTCAGTGTTTTAATGTGCTAAATTTCTGTTATCTATTATAAATTTTCAATTTTTGTTGGCTTGAAATTTATTAGAATACACCAAATAATTTTTTCAAACGTTTTTCTTCATAATAACAGCATAAATATTGTTTGAAAGTTTAAAAACTTCCGCTTTTTCAACTAACCACCCGATGTATTTTTAAAATTACTCAATATTGTCCCAACTTTATTAACAACTATTTTAATTTCTCACATCTGTTGTTCTGTTTGATATATTCCGATAAACTTTGGTATAATAATTTTGTATGAACATTTTTCTTTACAATAACAACGTGTCCATTGAACAAAAATTGTTTGAACCATTTTCCAAAATATCTTTTTTTTCTTTCTGCTGCATTCAACAAAATGTTCTTTTCTTATAATTTCAGATGATATATAAAATCATCACAAGTATTCTTAATTATTTGGAATTGAAGTGACATGCGTAGTGAACACTGAAAATTTGAAAAAGCTGACCAACTACTGTTTTGATTTATAAAACTTAAATTCTTTTTTTAATTCGGGGAAATTTTAAGCTATAATTTTGTTAAAAACTTTTTTTTGAGTACTACTGTTGAATATTATCTCAAAAGGTGTTGTGTTACAACAGCCTGCCGAGCAAAATAAGATCCGGGTGCTTCGTCTCCCCCCAAAAAAAAATGAGAAAGAAAGATGGTTAAAGGTAATACCAAGAGATAACACTCTTAACCATAGAGACACTTGTTTGTGAAAGGCATTTTCCACCTGGTTATGAAACTGTGTTTGTTTACGGAAAAGTACGCCCCTGAAATTCTCCATCAATATTCAATAATTTGATATCAAGTCCTTTACTATAACCAAGGACAGTAAAAAAAAAAAAGTTCCACTTCTGTGCAAAGTGTGCAAAATGATGAGTTTGCACATTTCTTAGAAACAAAAATAGAATTAAGAATTTTACAAATTTGTGAGCTGATATTGAACATCATGATTTTACACCAGCAGTTACCGGCTACAAATCAAACAATCAACAGTTCATCCAGTCTTCTCATTTTTTTCTTTTTTTTTTTTTTTTACTAGAAGTATTTCGATCTTTTTATTAAAAGTTTTAAAAACTTGACGTTTGAATATTACCATGCAGGTATACGCACATACATTTCTTCCCTGTTAAAAAAAACAGAATGAATATTTCCACATTGGTCTTAAATTGAGGAAGCAATTCGTTACTTTGGTAACTTGAAAATCGAACGAAAGAAATGGGTTTTGAGATAACATATCGAATTTATGTCACCACGATAATCTGAATTTCTTGGTGATGTATTTAGCAAAATGTCAGATGAACAGAAAAAAAATGTATCATCTTAGTTGATGAAGTTTATGTTAAAGTGAGTTTACAATACCAAAGAGGAAACTTATTTGGCTTTGCCAAACATTCTAAAGAGGAATTATCAAAAACTGTATTGGGCATTATGATCAAATGTTTACATGGTGGACCAAAAGTTTTGATTAAGATGATCCCAGTTGCCAAAATAAATTCAGATTTTTTGTTTCAGAATTTTAGAAATATTGTTGATTTCCTGTCCTTAAGGACACATGGTACAGTGGAGAAAGGCGTTGGTTAGATCCGGTGACAGGACCCAAAGAGTTGTGAGTTCAGTACCTGGTTAAGGTAGCGGAGAACTTGGAGAGGGGAATTAACAGGAGATAACTGATCACTGACATCCATTAGTCATGGCACGTGGAACTAGAACAGTCTACCCCAACGAGTGAAATAAAGGGTTCAGTTCGACATTCCAACCACCTGAAGAAGGCCGGAGCGTACAAAAACACATCATCACATTTGAAGAAACTATAGTTCTGTGCTTGACATCATCAATTGGTGCGGATTCATTTTTTACCACAATATACAAGTCATGATCTTTTGACACAAGTAGAAATTCTTTCAAAAATCCACATGGAAATAAAAATCATTCATTAAAATATTATGCATTTGCATTTGTTTATTCAAAGATACCTGTCTCTTTATTTACAGGAATTCGTCAAATTTACTAATTAGCACATTGTGGTTCTTGTTTTCGAATTTAAAACACATGACAAACATCAAACTAATCTCGCAATGGAATTTTCCCCTCTGTTTCTAACTACTAAGAAAATTCACATCGCGTCCAGTAAGAGACTTCATCTGCATGATCGCCTGGCCTGTTATAGCCTTGATTGTGCTACATTCGGTATCTCTCGTTTGTGTCGGTTTTGGGGGGAACTTTCGCGATTTATTATGTTTCCCAAGGCAGACTC